TGTGAATTGTTTATTTTGATTATGTAAACGTCCAAATTATTAGTCTATGTTAATTATCTATTTTTAACTGAAAGGTGCGTTTCGCTTCAATGAAGCGTGCGCCTCGCCTTGGGTCTAAGCCCTAAGTGACCTTCGGCACCTTGGTGTGCATTGAGCCTTTAAAAACAATGGTTTCATTGATATAGTTTCTATAATTTTAATTTTGTTTGATTGATATATTTTTTCTCGTTGTCCTCAGCTAAGAACCTCAGACAGACTACCACTTCTGTCTCGAGGAATCCAAATTTTTTGGTTAATAGGTCTGGGAAAAAGAAGGGTGCCCGAAATACAATTGAGAGTATTTGTTTCTTCCACCAACCACAATCTACAAAATCAAGAAAGAAAAAAATTCTTAACATACCTCCAATTGAAATTCCCTAGAAGTAAATAGATACATTAAAATAGAGAAAGCTTAGCGACAATCCCAAATACTAATTGAATGGTAAATGATCACATGTAACTATTTTTTATTTCTTTTCTTCTCTTGCAAAGATGTTTAGGTGGTGCAATGTTTAATACTAAAATATTGGCAAACTAGTCTGTATTTATGTGATCATTCTTGACAAAGAAAAATTTGACATGTGATATTTCTTGGCAAAAAAAAGAACAACGGGACAAGTTTATTATTTCTTGAAATCCAAAAGACGTAGTATTATCTAAAATTAACAGTATATAGTAGGTTAGAACCAATTAGTCTCAATCTATTCTATCATAGAAAGAGAACTATACTAAGAATCTCGCCTTACCAAAATTGTCACTTACTTCCCTACGGACCTCTAATAACTCCACTAAGTTTATAAGTAACACAGAATAATTAGTTACTTGGCTTTCCTATGACCTTCACATATGAGCATAGAGGCACGTGTGTGCAACCTTCCATTGTACTAGAATTACAAAATCAAATTGATTTCACTTCAAGTAGTTTTTCAAATGCCATTATATGCTGCAAAAGTAACAAGTAGTGCTGGTGGAGCGGAGGTAAATAGAAGTTTCTAGTGTTAGGAATGCCTAGGGGAGCATGAATATATTTTACATATTGTATTAAGGCTTTGTTTGGGACGTTTGGTTTTGGCTAAAATAGTCAATGAAGACAAAACAAAAAATAAATAAATAAAATTAAGATAGCCAATAAAATAAAATACCACATTTTACACATCAATCAATCACTTTTTCTCTTACAATCATGTATTTATATAAATAAAAAAAATCACAAATTAAAAAAAAAATTCATCTCATAAAATAACCAAAAAGTCACTAAAACAGCCCAAGTTCCCAAACGAGCACTAAATATATACTAACACTTTTTTTTTTTTTGGCTTATTTGTAATATATAAATAAACTAGTGTAAACCCGTGCACGGTGTAAATAAAATAAGTGAATAAAAAGAGAAAAAAAAAAGGGAGGAAAATAAAAAAAATAACAATAAAAATGATAGAATTTGGAAAGATGAATTTAATTAGACACCAAGAAACAAAAAATTAGCAATACTAATTAACAACTATAAAAAAAATCTTTTTATGTTTTTTTTAACAACATTAAAAAAAATTAACAACTATATATGACAGTCAAATATTTTTTCCAAATCACTTGGTAGCAAATCTATATACAAACAATTAGACAAAAGAACATAGGTCTAAAAACTAATTCCATTTAATTTTAATCCAATAACAATAAAAAATGATAGAATTCCATTTTGAACTAAGCCAAAATTACAGAAAGAGGATACCATAAACTAATGATTAGCCAAAGGAAACTCAAAATTACATAGTAATCAATGATTAGCCAAAGGAAGCTCAACAAAAAAAAAAAAAATTTGAGACTGATAAATATTTATGGCAATCAGCCAAATTTCACTTTCTGTACTATTTCCCCCACTTTCTCATCAACCAAACATGACAGAAATTTTTTTGGTAAAAACTATTGATTTATGGGCTGATAAATATTTATACCGATTCAAAAAAGTCTTAACTCAAAATTGAAGCAAACAACAAATAAATATTACACTAGCACTGTTTGATTTCATTTTGTTCCGTCAATTTTATCTCTAATGACGTGGTGCATTTCATGTGAAACATGTCCATACTCTCACACTGTTTAATTTCACTTTTAGACTTTATTTATTTTTAAATTTTGGCAAAAATAAAACTCAAACAAATATTTTCAAAATTTTAAAAAATTATTTCTGACTCGAAAAATAGTAAATCTTAGAAAGTGTTTTTTGTCCCATTAATTTCATCTAATGATGTGACCCATCCCATATGAAATAGGTCCATACTCCCACACTGTTTAATTTGACAAAAATAAAGCTCAAACAGAAAATGTGGACTTTTTTTTAGAAAATCTTAGAAAGGTTTTTTGTAAAAAAAATCTTAGAAAGTTTTAAGAAAATCTTAAAAAAAAATTAAATTTTAAAATTAAAATTAAACAAAGTGATGATGATAATGTGGACTAATTGGAAAAAACAAATCAAACTCAATGGTTTAACACAAATCATACTCTAGCATAGAAACAAAACAAATCTGAAATCTATATAAACAAATCCGACACTCTGTTTTTCTTTTTATGAGTGAAGCAAAAAGAAAAGAAAAAAAAAAAAAACAAAAAGAATGCTCTGAAGCTTTCATTTAGTCGAAATGACTCAACTCAGCATGGTCCAGCTTTCATTTGCATGTTTGAGTGAAACAAAAAGAAAAAAAAAAAATGCTCTGAAGTCATTTGGTTCAGTTTCTGTTCTCAGAGAACAGGAAATAAACCCAAATTCAGCCTGAAGACCTCAATAAACCCAATAAAAAATCCCAGATCATATCACATTTTACCCAGATAGAAAACCCCAATAAACCCAATAGAAAACCCCCCAAAAGATCAAACCGGAAACCAACCTAAAAAGATCAAACCTTGCAGGAAACCAACCTTGCAACCGAGCAGCCGGAGTGGTCAGAGTGATGACTGAGTAGTCGAAATGAGGTCTGATGAAGTCAGGGAGAGAAATGGGTAGAAAGAGAAATGAGAGGCAAAAGCTGAGTGACGGAAAAAAAATGTTTAAACAGAGCGAGAGGGAGAGAGAGATAGAGAGGGAAGCTGGGAAGGCAGATGAACAGAGAGAGAGAAAGGTGGGGAGCAAAAATGCTTCCGACCTCTAAAACTTCGTCACTAAATTGGCATTAATGACGTGGCTGCCAACATGGAAAACTGAAGCAAACTCGCCCCTTTCTCTCTCTTTCTTGTTCATTTCAAATTTCAGATTCGTTTTCACAAAAAACTTGAAGACCCTCTCTCTCTCATTTCTTCATTCTCTTCTCTGTTGTGCTTTTCTGTCGACAAGCTCCCCGACGAGCACAGCTCTCCATCAGCGGCGAGACGACGAGCGTCGCTCTACAACCCCGGTGACGATCGAGGTTGAACGCAGCTTCTACAACCCCACTCAAATGCTTTCATGTTGGAGCTCTTTCATTTGGTCAAATAAAAGAAAACTACAAAAGCCCTTTGGCTTATATATTGCTGTCGTTTCTAAATTAAATTGAATTTTGATTGTTTTCTAAAGAGTTGTATAATCTTTTATAACAATATTTGCATCTGTTTTTGTTTTCATTCAGGTCATTGACAGGTCATTTGGCATTGATACTGCTATTGAGGAAGCTCAGCGAGCCATCAATGCTGCGCATGTTGAAGCTGAAAGTGTTGAGAATGGTATTGGTGTAGTGAAGCTAATGGGCCGCTACAGTGGTAAGGTTGACTCCCATATGTTTCAGTGGTCATAACTGCATGGCTAAATTACAGATAATTAGATATCTAACTATGCAGTTTGGCCTGATGATCACTCTGGGACCGTTGACCATCTTCTTTGCATGCTCCGATGCCAACTGGGCTGCTATGCAAACTTTTATTTAGTGTTTTGTTGTCTACATTTCCTTCAAAGCATCATTTAATTCAGGTTTGTGCATCTTGCTATTGCAAAACAAGCTTTAGAGTCACAAATCAAGATGAATATAGCTCTTGGTGCTACAACATATGAACATGCTTTTGCTTGCTTAATAAAATTTGCTCATAGCTTGGAAGCAATCAAAATAAATGAACCAAATAAAAACTTCCAGAGATTTTGAATGTATGATTTTCCGTGGTTTTAAACTTTAACTCAATCTAATAATTTCATCAATGCTTTTCCTTTCATCAATGCTCATTGCAATGTATGCTACACTTGCCAGCCGAGATGTGGACTGTTGTTTGATTCCAGAATCACCCTTCTTTCTGGAAGTGGTAGTGGATGTAATAGATATTGGTGAACATGTTCTAAAACTCGTTAATTTTCTTGTTTGGGTAAGCTAGCTTCATTTGGTACTGTTAATTCTGTTGAATTGCATGCATTTAAATTCATGAATGTAATGAAACATTAGTGAATTTTTATCAGAAATGTTGGAAAAGGCAATAGCAACTCCTCCAACTGTTTCACCAATATGGTGTTCCCCATTACTTGAGGTATGTGTAGAATTAAAATTATGTCATAAAATTCTCTACTCAACTTTTTGAATGATCCCATTGAATGAAATTTCTAACTACGCTAGTTCTACTATATTTGAAGTCCTGTATAGGAGTAATTTGGGTATGTATAACTGTGTCATATATATGTGTGAAAAAAAAAATATATATATATATATAACCACTACAACAAAAAAGGTCTATGGTGACGAAAATACATGATGAAAAAATATTTCGTCTCCAAATATATATGTTTTAGTGATGAAAATAAGATTTCATCTCCAATCGTACTATTTTTAGGGACAAAAACAAAATTTCATCACTAAATGCTTAAAATAAATAAATTGAATTCAGTTCTAAAATGGTTTGATCTTTATTTGCTGATTTTGGATTGTTTTTTCTCTCATCTGTATAGTTTCTCTGTGTATAGCAAATATGAATCATGCTATATACTTTTTGTGTCTGCAAGGTGCTCGACAAAATGTCATAATGGCAACTGAAATTTGCATTTTGTTTAGGTAAGTCTTTTGACTGAAAATGGAAACACCAAGGATGATTTGAGGCTCCCCACTGATGATGCTCTGCTCCCCACTGAAAATTCTAGCCATGACTGGTATATTTCTTTAGCCAGGTGGCTGAAATTTCTATAAATGATTCCAACCATAGAGCCCTTAACACATGTTAAAGGCATTTATCCATGTGTTTAGGTACTCCACAGTAAAAACAAACTTGTGCCGAGCTTAATTTTATGCTAACAGTCCCACCTGTTTGCAGTCACCACTGCAAATAGTACATACTTCATTGACTTTGATAAGTTAATGTAATAAAAATTCATTGAGACTGAATTTGCAACTGTTCTCTGTTACTTCATTGATCTATGCCTCGCTTGTTAGTGCTTCATGTCTTGCAACCTTACTTGAAGAAACAACCCTTTCAATAACTTCTCCCTATATCAGTCCTAAGGTGAAAATTTTCAGGAGGCATGAGTTATTCTTTGACAATTCTCTGATAAAGATACTCATGTAAAAAGGCATCTTGAATATGTGTGAATATGTGAATTGTTGCTGAATGAAATTCATTCCCCATCATTTGTGAAAACCATGAATTGACACTCAAATGCTTTCATGTTGGAGCTCTTTCATTTGGTCAAATAAAAGAAAACTACAAAAGCCCTTTGGCTTATATATTGCTGTTGTTTCTAAATTAAATTAAATTTTGATTGTTTTCTAAAGAGTTGTATAATCTTTTATAACAATATTTGCATCTGTTTTTGTTTTCATTCAGGTCATTGACAGGTCATTTGGCTTTGATACTGTTGTTGAGGAAGCTCAGCGAGCCATCAATGCTGTGCATGTTGAAGCTGAAAGTGTTGAGAATGGTGTTGGTGTAGTGAAGCTAATGGGCCGCTACAGTGGTAAGGTTGACTCCCATATGTTTCAGTGGTCATAACTGCATGGCTAAATTACAGATAATTAGATATCTAACTATGCAGTTTGGCCTGATGGTCACTCCGGGACCGTTGACCATCTTTGCATGCTCCGATGCCAACTGGGCTGCTATGCAAACTTTTATTTAGTGTTTTGTTGTCTACATTTCCTTCAAAGCATCATTTAATTCAGGTTTGTGCATCTTGCTATTGCAAAACAAGCTTTAGAGTCACAAATCAAGATGAATATAGCTCTTGGTGCTACAACATATGAACATGCTTTTGCTTGCTTAATAAAATTTGCTCATAGCTTGGAAGCAATCAAAATAAATGAACCAAATAAAAACTTCCAGAGATTTTGAATGTATGATTTTCCGTAGTGTTTTAAACTTTAACTCAATCTAATAATTTCATCAATGCTTTTCCTTTTTAGATTAGCTTCACTGGCATTATCCAGACTTTCCTTCATTTTTCTCAGATTTACTGGTGCAGGCTTCATTGCAATGTATGCTACACTTGCCAGCCGAGATGTGGACTGTTGTTTGATTCCAGAATCACCCTTCTTTCTGGAAGTGGTAGTGGATGTAATAGATATTGGTGAACATGTTCTAAAACTCGTTAATTTTGTTGTTTGGGTAAGCTAGCTTCATTTGGTACTGTTAATTCTGTTGAATTGCATGCATTTAAATTCATGAATGTAATGAAACATTAGTGAATTTTTATCAGAAATGTTGGAAAAGGCAATAGCAACTCCTCCAACTGTTTCACCAATATGGTGTTCCCCATTACTTGAGGTATGTGTAGAATTAAAATTATGTCATAAAATTCTCTACTCAACTTTTTGAATGATCCCATTGAATGAAATTTCTAACTACGCTAGTTCTACTATATTTGAAGTCCTGTATAGGAGTAATTTGGGTATGTATGAAAATATATATATATATATAACTGAATTTCTTTGCTTCTCTTCTATAGCCATTGATATGAGCTTGTTAAGTTGAAAGGTATTGCCAAAACTGACGCTTCATGCTCCATTGTCTTTGAAGCCAGATGAACATGGCATTAGTGAATCGTCTTCACAGTTGCTGATAATATATTAGTGAATCATCTTCACGCTTCATGCTCCATTGTCTACTCACTTACCTGTGCCGAGCTTCTTTATTTTTGAAAAACCTTGTTCTATGTTTTTCTTTGAAGGTACTGCTCATTTCCTTATTAGAAGAATAAAGAAGCATGTCCTAGACAAAACTACTCCTATACAGGACTTCATTTCCTTACTGCTTATTTTCTTTGAGTTCACTTTGTCATAAATAAATCAAAACAAGAGGAGACAAAACTACATATATATTTGTCACTTTGTCACTTTGTCATTTTCTTTGAGTTCACTTTGTCACTTTGAGTTCACTTTGTCATTTTCTTTGAGTTCACTTTGTCATATATATATATTATCATTTTTAACTATACAAAACAAGAGGTGAGGTTGGGTTGGTGTCCATATTGCCAGTGAAGTCAAAAAGGAGACAAAACTACAAGCATGAGAGTTAGCTATCATTTACATCATTATTAGTCCCAATGTGACGTAAATCCAAATACACTTGTTTCAATTACGAAATTTCTTGAAGCTTGTTCAATGCTTTTAATGTGATTCTGTCTTACCTTAGGAAGCAAACTGCAAATGCTAAATTGTTTGCCTTTTGAATAGAATATTTCTGGCCTTTACTATGTTCATCATTACCAGCTTGAATATTATGGGAGTGCAAATGTCGCTTGTTTCTCCATTTTTATTTATGATTTTTGTGGGTTGTTGTTGTTGTAATGCTCTTCATTCATTAAACCCCTCAAACTGGGGTAAGTTGACTTTATCAGACTAATTTAGTGGAACTAGCTTCACTTTATCAGACTAATTTAGTGGATGTTGAACTTGTTTACTATTTTTATGCATAGAGATAGGCTTTGTTAATTTCATTATCCTCTGCTGCAATCTAGGCTTTCAGAACAAAGGAGAAAGAAACTCCAAGCAAAGGAGGCTGAATTGAGGAGGAGGGAGCAGGTACTTGTTTATACTAATTAAAATTGTAGCTTCCAAATATGTTTTACCTAGAATTGAATGGCTATTTTTTTAATTTTATTTTCATGGACACTTGGTATTAGTCTTATTAGTTTTTCATTTTATTTATATTATGCAGGATGTTTACATGTACTTCCGTGGCAGTGGCAAAGCAGCAGAGATGAAGCGTGAGGCTGCAAAACGGACAATGATGGCTGCACTGCCATGATTCAGAAAGATTCTTTGGTTTGATAATGCTGAGAGAAATCGAACATTCACTATTTTTTTGCACTTGTGCCTAGTCTAGTATTTATAAGTCTTCATATAATCTTCTTAAAATATGTATGTAAAAGACAGATTCTGACAAACAAGTTTAAGTTAGGACATGTTGTGGTACATATGTCCTTTTTGGAAATTAATTTTGTTAGTCCTGTATTATGTATGAAATGAAATTATTGACGTTGGATTAGACTTGGTTCGTATGGAATTTGTATTATATATAGAATTGGACGTTTATTTTTAATGTTTTGGATGGTTGGAACTAGAATGTGTGCACGTTGTTGAATGCTTGATAATATATTTAGCATTGATGGGTTATATTGGGTTATATTGAATCCTGTGTTATGTACGTACAGGTTGTATTAAACATGGATGTAGGTTGTTTAGAATTTTTTTGGAAAAAAAAAAAAAACAGAAAATATTTGGCCACCAAATATTTTGGTAGCCAAATACATAGTTGGAATTATTTGGCTACTAATAATTTAGTAGCAAAAACATTTGGCAACTAAAACATTTGGTAGCAAAAAGTAATGAATAGTTGGTTAAAATTTTCATGTAGAACTTTTAGTGACTAAAAAATTAGTAGCCGAAATGTCACTATTGCCGACTAAGTATGGATTCATAGCCAAATGTTAACTTTCGGTGACTAATTCTTTCGTAGCAAAAAGTAACACGTTCGCCGACCAAATGAATGTTAGTAGCCAAAAGTCACATTCGGCGACTAATACTTTAGTGGCAGAAACATACCTTTTCCCGACTAAACTAAGATTAGTAGCCAAATGTGTACACTTTCGGCGACCAAATAAATTTTAGTCGCCAATACTATCGCCGACAGGGTAAAGGCGACGAGCTTAGCAACAAAAAATTTTGGTCGCTAAATGGTTTTGGCGACCAAATTTTGGACTTTTGGCGACCAATATTTTGGTAGCCAAAAGTGACATTTCTTGTAGTGATTGTACTAAAATTACAAAATCAAATTGATTTCACTTCAAGTAGTTTTTCAAATGCCATTATATGTTGCAAAAGTAACAAGTAGTGCTGGTGGAGCGGAGGTAAATAGAAGTTTCTAGTGTTAGGAATGCCTAGGGGAGCTGTAGACACCCCATTTTTGACCGTCCTCAAGACTTGGGTGTCACCGCTTGGAACACTCAGTGATTATCCATGTTTGTGTTCGTTTGGAGTTCCCGGAAGTCTCGGCTCGCGCGCCCTGCCTCAGGATCTCCGAACTTGACCGTTTAGTGTCTGGTTTCACACCGAACACTTATGTTTTGCCTTGGAGGGGCAGGGAATGCCTTGTGAGGCATACCCACACACCACCGGCAGTGGCTAGAGGCCACCGGCTGGTATTTTTCTGCCATCGGCACTATTTGTTGCCGGTTGGCACATTTTATTGCCGGTCGGCATAGTTTGTTGCCGGTCGGCACTAAATTTTGTCGAAATGACATTTTTGGGCAGCCGACCACTGTTCATCCACTTTATGGAGATATTTTGTGCCAGCTGTGATAGCTGGCACCAACTCTGCTCCTGCCATACCGTGTATGGAGGATCTCCCTCTAGCAAGCTTGTTGTATAAGCTTTGCAAGAGGGAGTCCTATAAGAGGAAGGGCTCTCCTCTTTGATCTAGGTTAGAGACTTAGAAGCAAAAACCAGAGCTTAGAGATATAGATACATTCTATCTCTATATCTCCTCTCTCTCCTCCTTTGTGTGTGTTTCCTTGGCCTAAAGGTGGATTTTACCTTACTTTTGCACCATTACACACACTATTATACGCTTGCTCCGAGATTGAGGGACTTGGGGGTTGATTCTTGAGTTTTTGGACTGATTTTGATCAAAAGAAGAGGGCTGGACCATTTGTTCTTCAAAGGTTCTTCAAGGGTGAGCATCTTGCTTTATATTCCCCAAACTTGCAATAGTCTTTTACCTATCTTGCTTGTTGATTTAGCTTTTGTGTATAGCATAAAAAAGGCTTATATTTTCATTCTTTAGAACTTTCATTAAGGTTGTTTTGTGTTTTGAGTGCAAACTCACCCTATTAGGCCTTGTTTGGCCCCTTTTGTTGCCTTTTTGGTAGGGTTTTGTTTACTTCAGTGTTTTGATCTCTTTACTACTGAAAACCAGTGTATTTTTAGTAGTAAAGAAGGTGGTTTGAAGTCTTGCATAGGGGAGGGACACCCCTCTCCCTTCATTGTCTTGTTTCCTTACATTTTGGCCTAAAAGGGTAGCATGTATGCTTGATCATCTTGAGCCTTATTTCAGAAGTTTTTTGGATGTTTTAGGTCATATGTAACCTCTGTTTTTGGCCGGATTTGTGCCTCCTTGTATGCTTGTAGTACTTGCTTTGCATTGCTCCATTTAGCTTAGAAATGCATCTCATGATTAGGCCATGATTCTTGCATGTGTTGGCTTAGTTCCATGAAGTTTTTAGCATTGTTTTCCCATGCTTAAAGTCTGTTGGTTATCAATTTGGTCATGATTGACATGTTTGTTATGGTTGCTTTGCATTTTGGCTTGAAAGCTTTGAGCATGTTGACCTTTAGCATGCATGGTTGTGATCACCCTATTGATTTGGCATCATTTAGGGCCACATTTCAGTCCAAGGATCATGTTTGTATGTGTGCATGTATGATCTCTTTTATGCCTTGAGGGTGTGCCCTCTTATGCCTAGGAATGAGCCTTGGTGCATATGCCTTTTTGGAAGCCACCTTAGATGCCATATTAGGAGGGTTTGGAGTCCCATTTTGCATGTAAAAATTCTGTTTTTACTTGTCTTAATCATGCCATGAGTGGTCATGTTGATGGGAGTAAGATGCTCCTTTGTTGTGCCTTAACTTTGGGTCTATTTGTGTGCATGCTCCCATGCTTGATTGTCCACCTTTTTGGCACCTTTTGGCCACTGTTTTGGGGTGGATCAAGATCTGTCCCTTTATGGCTTAAGGCCCCATTGCATACTTGTTTCATGTTTGTTGCATGGTTGCTTCATTAAGCCTTGTAGTATGTTAATCCCATTGCCAAATTGGTCCATGTTCGCATCACATTTGCACCTTGCATGCTTAGTCTTGTATATTTGTCATGGTAGTTGTGTGACACTTGCCATACTTTGCATATTTGGTATCGTGTTGCATTTGAGTCATGTTTGCATAACATGCACTGCATTACTTGACTTGGGGTGTCAAGCCAAGTGTGAGGGTCAAGGGACATTCATACTATGAGTGATGGAATGTGCCTTGATTCTCGGTTACCGAGGCCTTTGACTCCGGCTTGATAAGGCTTCGGATCTCATTTGTATGTTGCATGCATCTTTACATTAAGTGGCAAATTTGATCCCTTGGGTTATCATGCACCATTGATGGCTCCAAGATCGAAGGTCATACTTCCTTGAGTTCAAAACATGATAGGAAGCATGACCATGCTCACATGTGCCTGAAAACCCCATGCCATGCACTGTCTGTTCTCTGTTTGCTGTCAAAACTGTCTTCTGCAGGAAGTTTCTGCCGACCGGCAGAATTCAGTGCCGGCCGGCAATCTTTGAATGGCCGATAAATCAAAACAGTGCCGATGGAAATCCTGGACTGCCAGTGGGAATTCTGTTAAGCCGGTGGTACTCTGCAACATTCAAGGAACCTGTCCTAGGGTTTTGGCGTTTTTCAGAAAAACAGGGCAGTGTAAACAGAGGTGGCAGAGATATGGTACGGGTTTTTCAGGCGGGCCGGGATTCGAGCACGCATCATTCGCGCATCCCGAGGCAGAGGCTGCGGCCACCCCCTTTTTTTCTTTTGCATCCTTTCTTTTAATTAATTAGAAATTTTGTAATAATTTTATTTGTTTATTATTTGGGACTGTAATATTTATTTGGACCCTCCGAGTGAGGGCAATTGTGTAATAAGTGTGTGTGAGTGTATGTATGTCTTCCAACCCCACGTCTTTCTTCCCTTTTATTTACCCGCTTATGATGGTAGACTAGGGCATATTTAATTTAGCATACCTTATGCTATGCATGCGTGCATCCATGCATTTGTGTTGCATGCATTGGGCTCGGTACATCATGCTAACTGCATTTGTATTTCAGTTCCAAATTGAATACGTGCATCAAATTGATCGCATTTCATATGCCATGCTTAGGTTAGCCGAGTCTATTTAATTGCATCCTGTATGTGTTGCATTAGGCAATTTAACATGAACTAGGACATGCATGTTTGCTAACTAGTTTATTGTTTTGGCACGGAGAACGATGTAAGTATTTTTGCTTTAGCATCCCGCATGCGTGTGAGTATTGCCATGACAGTATGCTTGCCATGTGGCTAAATGCTTATCTGATAAACTGATTGAATGCCTGTGGATGAAGGTTGGATTGTTTGAGTTGGAAGAACTCATTGAAATCCGTGCTTTAGTCTACTTGCGAGTAGCAAATTCCAAAGCACTTTTCAAAACAAACGGATATGCAATGCTTATTTCCAAATTAGGCAATCTAGTCTATACTTGTTTGTTGCGCGCATAACATAGTAATTCTAGGCTAATAAATGGAATAAGGACACATAATGTTTTCAAAAACGGATATCATAGTTAGTAGAGGCCGGTCTTCGGACTGGGCGAAAGGGGGTGCTCATAGCTGACGTTCCCCGATCGTACCCAAGCTCCCGAGCCGAGACAACTCCGGTGATGACGGACATGTGGCCTTCGGCACCGAGTCAGGGTTTCCTAAATTTCCCCATTAAAAAATATTTAGGTGGCGACTCTGTATCTGGCAAAGCAGTCCATGTTTGGCACTACTTTTTCAAAAATCTGTTTCTCAAAACAATTTGCCAGATTTGGACTCTTTGGTTCAGATTAAGAACCGCGACAACAAAATCGTAAGTCCGAACTGTAGTAGCGAAGCCCCCCTCCGCGGGCGCGTCTACAGGAGCATGAATATATTTTACATATTGTATTAAGGCTTTGTTTGGGACGTTTGGTTTTGGCTAAAATAGTCAATGAAGACAAAACAAAAAATAAATAAATAAAATTAAGATAG